TTCCATGTGGGCTTTGTTGCTTCTGAGCTAGATGGCCGCTTGTTTACCTTCGCTGCTAAGGTATCTTTTAAGCAACTATTTTTCTAGCAAGTTAGATCTGAGGTCCATACAGCCATACTGTACTAAGTGGTAAAGGAGAGCCTCATCTTACAAATGAGGCTTGTCCAAAGGAATGAACTATCATATTAAGAGGAGTAGAGAGGGGATTTTGAGTGGAAGTAAAAGGATGAGCAATGGAAAAATAAATGGTAAGCCGTGGAAAAATATTAAGGAACAAGAAGTCGTCTTGGCTGGGTTGAATGTACAAAGGAACGTCAAAGTTTGTGGCAAGAGGGAAATTAAAATCTAGTTACTTTTCCGGTGAGTGTGTTGAAGCCCCGCACATATGCAATGGTGGCAGGAGCTGAGTAGCAGACAGTTTAAGGATCTATTCATTCGAGACTCAAACGTCAGACAGGGAGGCTGGGGAATAAGCAGTTACTAAGAAAAGTACTTTTAACTAGTAAGGTAGACTGTACAAGGCACCAACAAAGCTTTAACTGGAAGCTTATAAACTATTAATAGTTACCAGTAAATACTCAATAAACCTCCTCTTGAACATTGTAAACTGCTACATATATTCAGTTTAAACAAGAAACAAACTTTAAAAATTAATTCATGTAACTTACATTTTTCTTGTTGAAAGAGCTCTCTTCCAGTTTCTCCACAGCTAGGATGTTTTTCACGGGAATTGTGTAAATTGCATCTTTGCCTAAATAAATAAAGAAGTAGGACACACTTAAAACAATTTCCATCAGAACTGTAAAAGTGACAGATTAATTCTGTAAGAGTTTAAGCTCACCGTCTTGATAGTAGGAATTTAAATAACCTACAGTAGAGTCCCAAATGACAAGTACACAAATATTCTTTCAGAAAAGAAATAAATTTTGATTGCTTTCTTTAAAGTGACTTTCTCCTTACTTTCAATATCAAATACTTTTAAGCAAAAGCATGGGGGAGAGCATGATCTTTCTGTAGGAAACTGTGTAACATACAGGGACTGAAAATCAACGACAAACAACATCAGAGGACCACTCAATCCACCTACATAAGTATATTCTTTTGTTTTTCTAAATTAATGCTTAGTTATGGGATTAGTTCTCAAAACTATTTTAAACTGAAAAACTGCTCGTCATTCTCACATATTTGTTAGTCAATTGACTGGAGTTGTAAAATTTAATCTGAGATAGAGGGAGCAAAAGTGAAAATTTTATTCTCTGGAGGAAATCCTTGGCCTACTTTAAGAACTTAGGATCTGTGTAAAAAAATTTGAATTTGTTCTAATACAGTTCCATTAATACTATGGCATAGGAATTCATTTAAACTAAAGATTTACTTGAGCATAGCCTATATCCCATAAAGTAAAAGAAAGTATAAGAGAAGATAATTCTGGTCTCTTCTGGACATTTTGCAATAATATTCTTTAAAAAAAAAAGAACAAAAAAAAAGCTCATCCCCGAGGCTGTGTCGATCGACATACTGGAGGTTAAGATATTTGTGTTAGTCCACAGCTTTTGGTGGAGGGGCAAAGACAACTATTTGGTTAATAAAAATGTGTCGTGAAGAGAGATTAACAGACTATTTGCTAGGCCTGATTCCAAGTGCAAAATCTAAAATTCATGAAATTTTAGAACTTATAAATATCTATTTAGAGTAAGTCACTTAATTTTACCATTATACATCGAATGTCTACTATCTGCCAGGCAGTTTTCCAATCACTTGGGAGGCAATGGAACATGTAAAACCCTAATTAAGGTCTGGAAATTCCAACAAATGTTAGATAAACATAGATATAAATGCTAAAGAATGAAAATAAACATATGAGATGAGATAGAAAGTAATGGGAAAGGGAGTGGTTAGGGAAACTGTAAAAATAATGTTTAAATTCAACAAATATAAATTATAAATTCATGGGCAAACTAGAGAAGACTATCAGAAGTCTAGACAATTAAGCAATTACTAGAAGCCGATAAGATCAAATTACTGGGTATAGGGGGTGACCAGAAAGAAGCCAAAGGCTGAGCCACATGTAGGAGATGACTTGTCAAAAGTAAGAATGGTTTAGAAGAGAGCTTATACTCAGTGTGTGGACATGCACAGCTGAGCCAGCCAGCCATCCCCTCCCCTTCCTTGGCTTGTGCTAAGCAGCTGGCAACAGCACCAGTCCGGGTGCACTGGGCTGCACAGCAGTACATGTCAGGAGGAGCTGCTTGCCCCAGCTGGGTAGGAAAGCACCCACACCCAGAAGACAAGTGCCAGTACGCTGTTCCACTGGCTTGTCCTGCCCTTTCTTCACAGGCACAAGTGCTAAGCTTGTAAACAAAAGAGTGACTAGGAAGGGATAAGAAAAAACTCAAACCAAACCACAAGTCAATGCTATCGAAGCAATCCCACTCATCGTGACTCTACAGGACAGAGTAGAACTGCCCCTCTGGGTTTCTGAAATGCTTAAGTGTGGGAGTAGACGGCTTCATTTTCTTCCAGAGAATGGCTGGTGGGCTCAGAATGTTGGTCCAGTGTTCAGCAGCCCAACATGAAACCTACTACTGAGGAAATTACCAATCAATCAATCATCCAACAATGAACAAAATCTGTCCTCTGATAAAAGAGGGCAAGCTCCAAAGAGTTTAACATCTGACAAGATCAGGGGCAACTGGGGGAAGTGGAAGATACACTACAAAGAGCTCTGTCTTGAGTTTTTAAATTTTATACTTAGTTTCAACATTTAGAAGGCTGAATGCACAAAGCATGCACATACCACTCAAATTGTATAGTTATTGGCTTCTGGACATGGCAAAGGCAGAGAGCATACAAAGACATTACAGTCCATAGATCTTCGTGATGTCATTGGAGTTAATTTCACAGAGTTAATAAATTTTAGTAAAACAACTCAGTAAGTTAGTAAAATAAAAATTTCACCCAAAGAGTCTTCAAAAACAGTGCAAAAGAACCAAGAAACAGAAGATTACAAAGTTAAGGACTGTGGAGGGCAGATCTGGATGTACCAATATCTGTCTAATAAGTATCCCAGAAACAGAACAGAAAGATCATTCAAGAGGAAAACCAGATGCAAATCTGCCAGAGACCTAGATAGAAATATTCACATTGATCCCACCTCAGAAGAATTCACTTCAGAGGACAGCACTGAAGCTACAGCTTAGGGAGAGGGACATGTCTGATCAGAGCACACGGGAGCAAATGAAAAGGGAGGAAGAGAGTGGAGCACATCCTGACCCACCAAGCCTTGAGGATGATATCCCCGCTCAGAGCAGCCAATGCACAGAGTGGACCATATGGCTGGACCCACTATGAGACACATCCTTTACTGACCCATAACCCCTACTGGAGACACAGTGTTGGGAATTACGCCTGATCTGGCCCCACCACACTGAGACAAAACACTAAGGGCGTGCATAGCAAGGAAGTCCCAAGGGCAAGGGGGTACCAAAAATAGACTGGGGCCAGGGCGTGACACCCCATCAGACTCAACTGGAAAACACTCCTAAAGGTCAACAAACAGACTTTAAATTATTTACAGGCTTTCCTTTTTTTTGGTCATTGGTTTTTTGTTGTTGTCAGTTTTGTTTTCTTTTGTTGCTTTGTTTTGCTCTGTCTTGTTTTTCTGCATATTATTATCTCTGCGGGTCTATCTAGATAAGATAGGTTGGATAAACAATCTGAAGGAGAAAACAATGGGACCATGGTTCCAGGGGGACATGGCAGAGGGGGAAGTGGAGGAAAGGAAGTTGTGCTGGCAAACCCAGGGAGAAGGGAACAACAAATGATCCAAAATCAGTGGCGAGGAGGGTGTAAGAGGCCTGGTAGAGTTTAATCAAGGGCAATGTAACCAGAGGAATTACTGAAACCCAAATGAAGGCTGAGTATGATAGTGAGACAAGAGGAAAGTAAACGGAAATAGAGGAAAGAACTAGGAGGCAAAGGGCATTTACAGAAGTCTAAATGCAGGCATGTACATAGATAAATATATTTACATATGATGATTGGGAAATAGATCTACTTGCATATATTTATAGGTTTAGTATTAAGGTAGCAGATGGACATTGGGCCTCCACTCAGATACTCTCTCAATGCAAGAACACTTTGTTCCATTAAACTGGCATTCCATGATGCTCACCTTCTTGACATGATTGCTAAAGACAAATGGGTGCATAAGCAAATGTGGTAAAGAAAGCTAAGGGTGCCTGGCAATCAAAAGATGTAGCATCTGGGGTCTTAAAGATAAACAAGTGGCCATCTAGCTCAGAAACAACAAAGTCCACATGGAAGAAGCACACCAGCCTGTGTGATCACGCAGTATTGATGGGATCAGGTATCAGGCATCAAAGAATGAAAAGATCATAGCATTGTGAATGAGGGGGAGTGGGAAGTGGGGACCCAGAGCCCATCTGTAGGTAACTGGACATCCCCTAACAGAAGGGCCTCAGGGAGGAGATGAGACAGTCAGGATGCAGTGTTGCAAAGATGAAACATACAACTTTCCTCTAGTTCTTAAATGCTTCCTCCCCCCCACCCTCTACCTACTCTCATGATCCCAATTCTACCTTACAAATCCAGCTAGACCAGAGGATGTACACTGGTACAGATAGGAACTGGAAACACAGGGAATCCAGGACAGATGATCCCTTCAAGACCAGTGGTGAGAGTGGCGATACCGGGATGGTGAAGGGTGAGTGGGGTAGAAAGGGGGAACCGATTACAAGCATCTATATATAACCTCCTCCCTAGGGCATAGCCAACAGAAAAGTGGGTGAAGGGAGACATTAGTGTAAGATATGACAAAACAATAATAATTTATAAACGATCAAGGGCTTGTGAGGGAGGTGGGGGAGGACGGGAGTGGGGGTTGGAGGGGGGGAATGAGCTGATATCAAGGGCTCAAGTGGAAAGAAAATGTTTGCAGAATGATGGCAACAAATGTACAAATGTGCTTGACACAATAGCTGTATGTATACATTGTGATAAGAATTGTGCGAGCCCCCAGTAAAATGATTAAAAAAGAAAAAAAAGAAATATTCACATCGAAAGAATCTACCAAGTGTTGAGTGCGATAAAGGGCGAAATAGGCAAATATCTAGACATTGGGTATTAATACACCTGAAGCTGAAGCCTAAAGAAACAATTTTTTAAAGTTTCTACAGAAAATCAGTAATAATAAAAACAATAAAAAATTGACCTAAAAATTCTCCCCAATAACAAGTGGAAGTGAGAAAAAAGTAGAATATTCTCAAAATTCAGAGGTAAAATTATTTAAACTTTCAGTTTCATACACAGTCTATGATTCGACAACAAGAATAAAGCAATTTAAACTGTTTATGTGCAAAAGAGTCAAACGGCCAATGGTTTGGTACACACAATAGGGCTTCAGAGTTTGTGCAAAATGGAATCAAAAGATAATGAAAACTTTGCACAAACTTTTTGAATCCTCACTGGATATTTACCACAAAATTTTTAAAGGGAGTTAAGATACAGACAACATTTTGTTTATATGCACCAATGGATTTCAACTCATAGTGACCTCATGTAGGGTTTCTGAGGTTGTAAATCCTAACAAGAGCAGATAGCCTCATCTTTCTCCTGTGGAGCAGTTGGTGGATTTGAACTGCTAGCTTTGTGGTTAAGTGATCGCACCACAGTGACTCAGAAGATTTGTTGGTCACACCAAGCTTATCTGAATGAATTCTTTGAAGTACT